AGAGAGATGCTGCGGGATTATTATTCTTTTTGAAACTTGAGTTCGATGTTGTTATTTTTAAGACACCAGATATAGAGACCAAAAAATCCTTTTTTAAATTCACATCTGGTGGTATTTTTTTAAAATTTAATTTGTTGAAAATTAAAAAAAAGAATAAAATTTATTTTAAAATATGAAAATATTCGAAAAACTAGAATTTGTAACGATTTTCTAACTTTATTGCGAAAGAAAAAAATTATCGTTGCAACTATTTATTTTGGAAGTGATTATATACTCGAAATTACCCTTAAGGTATATAAATTGTCTAATGCGAGCACGCATGCTCATGAAACACACACGTGTGTTGCCCTGGGTGGATAACAGTAATGCAGGTATACAGTATTAGGAAATTGATTCACTTATATAAAAATTCTCAATATTTTGTCAAAAAAACTATTGAATTTTTCGCAAAAAAAAAAAAAAATGTAGAAAAAAATTGATTTGATTCAAATAATTTTCTTTACTATTATCAAATAAATATTTATTCCAATCAAACAATTTAAATCAAAAAAATATATTTCAGAGTCATAATTTTTTTTTTCAAATAAAAAATGTAGAGTACACTGAGAAAACGATATGTTTGATTCAAACATAATATGTTTAACCCAAACTTAAAATAGCTTTGTTATTCAGTCAAACATATTTATGTTTAAATTTAATATATTCTCTGGTTGATTCAATGTGAAAATATATTTAATTTAAACATAACTTATGGTTGATTTCAATTTATTCATAATAAATTTTTATGTTTAAATCAAACATAAAAATTTTAAACATATTTTCAATTTAAGCCAAACAGAAAATATGTTTGAATCAAACATAATTATTCAAACAAATAATAATTTTAAGCCAAAGTAGAAAATATTTTCTATATATTAAAATTAAACATAAAAACTGTGTTGGGTTAAATAAAAACTTTTAAACTGATCTTTATATTTGAAACAAATAATTCTTTTTCTCAGTGTATAAATAAAATTTTATTTAGCGCAAATAATATTTATTTGCCCCCGAGGTAAAAAATATAATTAAATATTAAATAATAATTATAAATTATACAAATTAGTATTTTTTCTAAAAATTAAAAAATTATCACGATATAATAATTCTGATAATAAAACTCGTGATATTCCTCAGGGAGTGGCATTATTTGTGATTAAGAGATGAAATTTTCTGATTAAAAAAAAAAAAAAAATGCTCTTAAAATCCTTAGAAAACGTGACAACGTCGCAGAGTATAGTAAGAAGCGTCTAGATGATTCAACGTGTGGCAGCTGTTTTAGGCGCCTCTCTCCCAAACAAGGTTTCCTCCCGTTTTGTTCTAAATTAAAAGCATCGCATCTTAATTATCTGTTTTTGAAACCTACAATAATTAATAGAAAAAAAAATTTCCTAATTAATTTTTTTTTTTCTATTAAAATTAAATACTTTTTACTAATTGTTAAAAAAAATAAAAATCTGATACAATCTGGACACCCAGTATTGTTTCAATTGAAGAGAAAGAGAGAGAGAGAGAGAATCTGCCGCAACGAGAAATAGGGAGAGCAAAAACCCACCCCCCGCAGGGGATGAAGTATGACTCATCCGTGAGGTCTCTACCCCACCCTGTTTGGCTTAGTGCTTTTTGTGCCAGGACTTTGACGCAACATGATAAAAAAAAAAGTGGGTGGGGGGGATTGAAAATTATCATAATTCGATTTGACGAGAGCTGGTCTGCTTCAGGTGTCAATCTAAATAACACACACCCTATAATACCACTTTTAGGATTACCTGAAGTCAAATTATCAACAAAAAAAAAAAAAAAAGAATCGATAGAGGGTAAATCTTTTTTTGTAAACTCCAATGACTCATTTTAATATATGCGCGAGAAACCCTAAAATTTGCATCATTTTTTGCTCAAGGGCCAACCTTTTATTTTTTTACACCCAGAAATTTATCTCAGAGTCAAATAAATATTTATTTGTTGCCAATAATTATTTAATTGTTGCAAATAAATATTTATTTAATTTAATTGGTTCTGAGAAAAATAAACGTTTATTTAACTTAAATATATATTATATTTGAGTTCAAATAAAATATTTCTCATTGTAAGAAAGAAAAAGTCATCAAATTATTATTATGTGAAAAATAGGTTTTTTTTTTATTTCCTTCCGTCGCGTTTTTTTTTTATTTTAATTATACAATTTAAGAGCGTACATAATATAATATGGGGATAAAATAACTCTCTCGTTAATTTTTTTCAAGTTCTCATTACTTCCCTTTTTAATTCTAAAGCAATCGTTATATATATACCAAGGGAAAAAAAAAATATATTTGTCTCAAATATTTATTTTGTCTCAAATAAATTTTATTCAGTTTAAATAAATTTTATTCGGTTTTCAATAAATATAATTCGATTTAAATAAATTTTATTTGATTAAAATAAAAATATTTTATTTGCTCTAAATAAATTTTTTAATTAAAACTAATAAAAATTTATTACACCCAGAGAAATGATTTATTTGAACCAAATAAAATATATTTGAGTTAAATAAACGTATATTTGTCTCAGAGCCTAGTAACTTATTTATTTGGCGTAAATAAAAATTTTATTTGTCAGAAATAAATTTTTCTTTGGCTCAAATAAATTTTTTATTATTCAATGAAATGAAATATATTTGCAACAAATAAATGAGTTAGTAGGCTCTGAGACAAATATATTTATATTTGATTCAAATATATGTTATTTGGAACAAATAAATATTATTTCAGATCAAATAAATTTTTATTTAAATCAAATAAATTTTTTTTTTTTTTTTATCAAATTGAAAAAACAAATTTGTTAAATTTTATATTAGTAAATGAAAGTAATACGAAATGGTGAGTAACATACAGGCTCCGGAGAGAGAGAGAGAGAGAGAGGGAAAAGTCGTTTCTCTGCAAAACGATGTTTCGCCGCGTGGGTGAAGGGTTATTATAGCCTGGCGCCAGAAGTATTCGAATATCTAAATCCTTTGTCAAGGACTTGTTGTATACCAACCAAGACTTATGTACTCGCTTTCAAAACTCGCATGATAAAAAATACAGATACATAATCTTTTTTTTTTTTGATTATTCAAACATGAGAGTAAAAATTATCAAAAACCAAGTTTGAATATATATATATATATATATATATATATATATATGGGACGTTCCGCGTCAACCGGATCAGTGCTCTGTACATAATTGTATGGGACCAATTGAAACGTTTAAGGTCTTAAAATGTTCATCTCGAAGTACTTTAACATTTACAATATGGCCTTTTTAAAAATCCAAAATGGCGGCCGAATTATGACACATTATATGGCTGAAATGTAGAAAATCTATAATTAAAACATTATTTAAGAAGCAAAAAATGTTCGAATTGGCATTAAATTGATCATCAACAGTGCTAGGGGTTTACAGAATCAAAAAATGCTGACACTTTTCAAAATTTTCAAAAATACAAAATGGCAGATCCAAAATGGAGGAATAGTTTTAAAAATATGACTCAATTTACTCGAAACTTAGGACCCGGGGGTTTTTGGGGTCGCTGATTACAAATCTGAACTCAGTTTTCAAAAATTCAAAATGGCGGATCCAATATGGCGGACTGTTTTTTGAAAAAATTACCCAATTCACTCGAAACTTGTGACTCGGGGGTTTTTGGGGTCGCTGATTACAAATCTGAACTCAGTTTTCAAAAATACAAAATGGCGGATCCAATATGGCGGACTGTTTTTGAAAAAATTACCCAATTCACTCGAAACTTGTGAGTCGGGGGTTTTTGGGGTCGCTCTTTACAAATATGAACATAGTGTAGATATGTGATTTACGAAAAATAATTTTCAAATTTCCAAGACCTCATTGAAAAATTGTTTTTGTTTTTAAAAATTAAAAAAGTACTTTTGGGGGTTTCTACTTCCAAAAGGGCAAAAATTTCGTTGAGAGTATGGTGAACTTAATTACCGAGTATTATAAAAACGATATATGTAGTAGAATAATTGGCAAATATAAGAATAAATGGTCAGAAACAGGTTATTTAGAAAATATTTTTATTACATCTAAAATTTCTTAATGAACTGCTTAAGCATCAAAATTCTCGAATTCAAATTAATTTAAGGAAGTTTGCAGAATTACAAACAAAATAAGGTGTATGTTTAATCAACAAAAATCTCAACTAGGTTAAAAAGCATTCCGCCTTAAATTTTGGAAAAATATCTACAAAATTCAATAAAATATCAAAATGACTGCTTCAAGTTTATTGCGTGTAAAATATCATAACACGTATTTTAGTGGAGAAAATAATATTACGTAATGCTAATTTTAAAAGACACATGTTCATACAGTCCTAATTCTTAAAAGGTAGAGAGATTGATAAAAAATTAATGTTTATAGAACGTACTTTGGAAAACTGAGTTCATATTTGTAAAGAACGACCCCAAGAACCCCCGAGTCACAAGTTTCGAGTGAATTGGGTAATTTTTTCAAAAAACAGTCCGCCATATTGGATCCGCCATTTTGAATTTTTGAAAACTGAGTTCAGATTTGTAATCAGCGACCCCAAAAACCCCCAAGTCACAAGTTTCGAGTGAATTGAGTCATATTTTTGAAACTATTCCTCCATTTTGGATCTGCCATTTTGTATTTTTGAAAATTTTGAAAAGTGTCAGCATTTTTTGATTCTGTAAACCCCTAGCACTGTTGATGATCAATTTAATGCCAATTCGAACATTTTTTGCTTCTTAAATAATGTTTTAATTATAGATTTTCTACATTTCAGCCATATAATGTGTCATAATTCGGCCGCCATTTTGGATTTTTAAAAAGGCCATATTGTAAATGTTAAAGTACTTCGAGATGAACATTTTAAGACCTTAAACGTTTCAATTGGTCCCATACAATTATGTACAGAGCACTGATCCGGTTGACGCGGAACGTCCCATATATATATATATATATATATTGTAATGAAAATATAATGATTACTAAATTAAATATAATAATTAAAAAGATACAAACGACATTCTAAATATATCGCTATTCAACAAAAAAAATTTGAATTTTTAACGCCAATATTAGAATTCTCATTACAAAAAAATTAAAAGAAAAATATCGGAATATCAAAGAAAATTTACCAGAAGGGCGCCAGATCTTGCTTGGATCAACTCAAAATTTTAAACAAAAAAAGTTATAATTCATAACATAAATTAACTCGACTAGCTCTACGAAAAATAACGGAGAGGCGTGAATTCAGAAAATTAATTCATAATAAAATTTACAAATAATCGTTTATTATATTGTGAAACAATAGTTGGGGAAATTTACAATAATAAAAGGAAGAAAGTGGTGACCATTACAGAATATCCAATAATAAAAAAGGGATTGACAATAGAAAGAAAGGGGAACAAAAATCAATAATTAGGGTAACCAATAATTGACTCTCTCTCTCTATGCTCAGTAATGGCCAAATCTTATCAAAAACATATTTATCACAACAACAAATAAAAATTAGAAAATCAATGTAATAATCACAATAAACAAGAAAAATTCAAAAGAAAGATGGTCACATGGTCAGGAATGAGGATCTCTCTTTATGTTACCGGTAAATTAAACAAAATAATGCATGTAATAATCAAGCAGCCACACGGCAAGATGTTAAGATTATTTTAATAAATTATAAATAATATTCATTAACAAGAATCACAAGGTCACCAGACTAGATTCTCTGTTAATAAATTTAACGGCACCAGCCAAATCAAAAAAAGGGGTAACAAATTGAGAACATCATTCCTTACAGGTAACCATAATATTAAAATAAAAAAATAGCAATTATCGTCGGGAAATCAACCAGATATTGCCTGAAGGGCCAAAGACAAAAGTCCTACCTTTAATTCCAGTGAAACACAATATCACGTTCAACACAATTTTTACTATAATATTATAATAGACAAGTTTAACAATAAGAGTTCCAAACTCGGAGGATCGCCAGGAGAGAGTGTCGACAGCGTGGTCGATACAGATATTGATCGTCGGCGTTTGAGATTGATGTCGTCTGCTCCATCAGTGACGTGACTAGTAATGGTGACAGGGTGCTTTCCGGGATTCGTTTGATATTTTACTATTACCATGTTGAGTGTGGTCTCATCCTGATTTGAAATTTAGTAAATTATCCCTCCTGAGTTCTTTGACTTCCAGTGGTTAGACCATTAGATTCATGACTTCTAAGGTAACCTGCATTGTCGTGAAGTCCAAAGAGCGCAGGGCCGTAAGCTGACAGGGCCCTTGGCCGACAGGCCAAAAGGTAACACTAACAAATCGAAACTTTATAATTTTTTACTGCGATGATTTTCCATTTTTCAATGCATTTTGAGCAGTGGATGTCATCTTTACATCGGAAATTTCCGGAATCCTTAGCGGCAAATTTGAATTGAAGGCAGATTACATCTTCATGAAAAATTTGAATTTCAAAGATTTGACATATCAGGTGACCCATGGCGGCAAATTCAAACATATTTTTTATATAAATTGTCCTGTTAGCCATTCCATAGTCGTGAAACATCAGACATCTTGCAAAAAGGTTGTCCATTCAGCTTCGTCTCTCGAGATCCATTATTCCGAGGAAGATTACATTAAAAAATAGAAAATACGAAAATAAGAAAATGAAAAATAAAATTATTTTGGCCAATTACCGAGCTTTTGGCGATCCTCCAGGTATTATTTTATACAAAAAATTTTGCAACGTTACAACACCCCTGGGTCTAGAGAAGGCCTATGAAGGACTACTTGTCTCCGACAAGTCAACTTCCCGACGGATGGTGCCAAAAACTCAGTCATTTAGCAAAATTAAATTATATCATAATAACTCTTGAATTGATCTTAACAGAAAATATTATTCATCTTAACACAATCTTAAAATAAAAGAAATCAACTTATATTTCAAGAATCAAAAAAAAATTGTAATTTAAATAATTTTTTTTTTTTTTTTTTTTTTTTAAATCGAAATGAAAAATTTGAATACTGCAGGATAAGTTAATAACAACAACAACTTTCTAAGAAAACTATTAAATTTTAATCAAAGGCTTAAATTTAAATTGTACATGGGAACTCGGTTACTCTATATCACAATTTTCTAGAGATAACATGGTTCAAGTCAAAAATGAAATAATACTTTTTCTCTGTTACACCAGATAATAATCTCATGAAGTAATACTTTCTAAGTCACAGGACTTTAATAACTTACTAATATCGTTAGTACAGTCTTTAATCGATATGATCTATATCGAAATTTTATTTAATAATTGACTAATTACTTCAGTCTTTTATAGTCGAACTTAATTATTAGAACAAAAATTATTTCTTTTAAATGATAATAGTTATTTCAATTATGGTTATATTATATTAAATATTATAACGGATGAATGATGTCAATTCAACCAAGCGGTAACTTTAACACTTTAATCTAAACTAAAGAAACAAAAAAAAATTTGAATTATATATTTTATAAGAAGATTAATATGATTGGTAAATAAAAATATAATAAAGTGAGAATATTAAAACAAAAAAAATACTTTTTTTTTTTTTTCGTTAAACTTTAACGTTTGCGATTCATTACGTTCTCGGTGATTTGGCAATTTCTGCAAACTTTGTTTTCGGGAACAGTATCTCCGCAGGTTTTACAAAATGATCTTTCTTCGGGATATGGACAATTTTCATGTCCATGTTTGGAATGTCCGCAATTCCAGCAACCATGAAGTGGGCTGCGCTTAAGCCATGATATTGTTTCGCGGTCTAAATTAGCGGGTTTATCTATTTTGAGGGACAAGAGAGATGGGACCTGGTCACGAGTATTTGTTTTATGCGAGGAATCTTTAGGGGTGACTATGTTTTGACGGGTGGCTTGTTTTTTAGTCGAGGAGGTTGAGGTAACAGTTGATTCCGCGACATGTTGACGTTTACTTCTGACAAAGTTCTCTTTCAATATGGGGTGATCTATATCTTGGGATTCAAACCTAGTTTGACGGAATTTGGAAGAAGACTTATTTTGGTCCATTTGGGAATCATTGATAGGAAGTGATGATGTGTCGTTAGACGAGATTACTTCAAGATCATTGGTATTGGTGAATGGAGGATAGCAATGATGGGGGGGAACTGCTGACTCAGCGGAAGAGGTAACATTTGAGTCACCAATCAGGAGGTTCTCTAATTCGTGTACAGACGGGGAATCATTCGAGCTCAAATTATTGGAACGGTGATTTGGTAACTGAAATTCTAATAGAATTTCATCAGGGGTACTAGGGTAACTGGGCCTGGCAGCTGAGGATTCATCGAAAGGGATGAGTGGATCATCATCAAAGGTGATTAATGGTGAGTCATCAAGGATGATCAGTGGAGTTTCATTGGAGCAAACAATTGGTGTGTCACCAGGGGTATCTAATGGGATTTCGTCAGAATAAATAAATGGGGAGTTATCAAAAATGTTAAGCAGTGTGTTGGTTTGAGTGGATTGGTGGTACATACAAGGAAGGGCTATAGGAGTTTGGGTACCTTGACTTGGAGTTAGCCGAAGAGGAGTTTGAGTGGTTTGATTGACGGTTGGTGGAAGTTGATGGAAATGGTTACCGGGATTTGTTTGACAGGCAACATGTGTTTTATTTAGGGAGTGTTCTTCGCGTTCGGATTTGTTCTGAATATATTCCTGCAATTCATGCTCCTCTGGGAAAGGTATTATTCTTCCTCCACTGCTGACGATTCTGGATTCGATTTCCAACTTGTATGCTTCAATCAGTGAGGGTAACAATCCTTCGTACAAGTGTGTCATTCTTTTTAGGACTTTATAGTATGGCTTTATAGATCGCCATCCAGCACAATTTGATAGAATGATGTCATCCTCTGCAGTCCAGCTGTTTTCCACGTTTTCTTCAATGAGAAAGGGGGCGAGTTTGTCTCCAAGTCTTCTGTTCTCTTGGGCTAATGTGTTGTTTAAACAAAGAAGATTTTCTATCCTTGTTTTTTGTGCTGTAGATTCTTCTTGCAACTCTCGTATTTGCGTACGAGCTACAGCGATCATTGTTTCCATTATTTCTTTTAAGTGTTCGCTAGTATTTGGATCATCGTCGCCATCTGACGTTAATGGTTTCGAATTATTATTGTCCATGATGTGGTTACTCTTTGGAGGTTGGTTACCAAATGGGGGTAAATGGGTTTCTCCTTGGACACCTTTAAGAAAATTTTAAATTGTTGTTATGGAATTCTTAATTTGGAATATTATAATGAAGACAGTAAATAAATCAATTTGAGTATAATGTTAAGATAGAGAAAATAATAAAATAATAATTTTTGTGATTTACCATGCCGTAAATGTTAGACTTAATTTTAATTGTTGAATTTAATTGTTTTAATGTGATCAACATTGAAAATATAAGGGAGCTCGGGGATACGTCATCGGATTTCGGGATCGGAATTTTCATTATTGTCTGGAGTGTCCGGTTGAAGGTATGGTTTAAGATCTTGGATATGATATTTTCCGATTCTTTTCAAGGACAAGTCAGATATTTCATACACGGTAGGGGAGAGAACTTTAGTGACTTTATATGGTCCGACATAACGAGGATTCAACTTAGCAGAAACATTTTTCAATTTAGAGGATAATGTTCGACACTTCATTAATACAAGATCTCCGACGTTTAATTTTAGAGAGCGGTGATGCAAGTTATAGTAGTGTGATTGTTTTATGAAGGCAAGGTCAAGGTTTTTAATTACCCAATCTCTCAGGATTTGTAATTTAGACATTCTTTCTTTCCAAATTTCAGGTTTTAATGGATCAATTTCTACTTTTCCTTCTTTATCTCTACGCAACAAATTAATTGGTTCAGGATACCTACCATAATTAAGAAATGCGGGTGTAGTTTTCAGAGAAGAATGATGTGCATTGTTATAGGCAAACTGGAATTCCATGAGATGTAAATCCCATGAGCGATGATCTTGATCAATATACGATATAATCATAGTTTTTAGGACTCGGTTTACGCGCTCGACTGGGTTTGCCTGCGGGTGATATAGAGGAGTAGTGGAATGATGGATGCCATATTCTTGAGTTAGTGACTCAATAGTACCGTTTACAAACTCTGTTCCATTATCAGTAATCAGGACTTTTGGGGTTCCATAGCGATTGAGAATCAAATTGCTAAATGATTTGCTAATTGTTTTTCCATTAGCTGATCTTAATGGGGCTATCTCAATCCACTTAGAGAAAGCGTCTTGGAACACTAGTATGTATTGGTATCCTGACTTACTTCTGGGCAAGGGTCCCATTATGTCTGCGCAAACTACTACCCAAGGATTTTCAACAACGCGGTGGCCTAACAATCCAGGAGGAACGCGTTGATCAACCTTGCATCTCAGGCAAGTTTCGCATCTCTTGACATACTCATAAATGTCGTTATAAGCTCCGGGCCAGAAATATCTCAAAGCTAATTTTTTATACGTTTTTTCTGTTCCTAAGTGTCCGGATTGAGGGTCATTATGAACTTCGCACAGTATCTGATTTCGATCTTCATCGGGAGGAACCAATTTCCATTTATTTAAATCTTCTTCGTCAGGGAACACAACCTTATCTGGACGGTAGAAGTAGAGATTTTTATCAATTATTCGCCAAGTAGGGTACCTTTCTGGAAATTCAGTCACAGATAGAAACTTTCTCATATACCAAGAACCAAGTGCATCTTCGGCGAGATAGAGATTTTCATCTACAGGAGTAGATTCATCGGGTGACTCAGCTGCGGGTATTCTCGATAAAGCATCAGGCACGCGATGATTGGCACCTTTCCTATGATAAATCTGGAATCTATAATCCAAAAGTGCGAGAGACCATCGAGCGAGACGACCAGTAGGATTCTTTAATTTATCTAACCAAAGGAGACTGCTATGATCGGTGATAACCTTGAATTCGTATCCCTCAAGGTAACCTCTAAATTTCTGTATTGCCCATACTACGGCTAAACATTCCTTTTCCGTAGTGGAATAATTCTGTTCTGCCATAGTCAGAGATCGACTTGCGTAGGCAATTACATACTCAACATTATTAATGGTTTGAGTCAAAACTGCGCCGATTCCCACATTGCTGGCATCAGTTTGTAGGACAAAAGTTTCATCGAAATTTGGTCGCGATAATATCGGGGCTTCAGTTAACATAACTCTTAATTTCTCGAATGCTAACTGCTGATCTTCCTCCCATTTCCAACTATGCTTTTTACTCAACAACTTGTTCAAAGGCGACGCGATAGTGGCATATCCAGCGATAAATCTGCGGTACCATGAAGCCATGCCTAGGAAGCGTTGCAGCTCCTTGATATTGCGGGGAACTGGATAATTTACGACAGGGGACAATTTATCAGGGTCAACTGATAATCCCTTTTCGTCAACGATAAAACCAAGGTATCGAACTTGAGAAGTGCAAAATTCACATTTTGCATTATTAATTTTAAGACCTGCATTTTTAATTTTATCTAACACTCGGTGTAACCAATCTAAGTGTTCCTCGAAAGTACTCGTGACAATAATTATGTCATCGAGATATGCAAAACAGTACGGCTCCATTTCTGGTCCTATTAAGCTGTCTAAAAGTCGCTGAAAAGTCGCAGGGGAATTCGTTAGACCAAAAGGCATTCGCTTAAATTGAAATAATCCGCGACCTGGCACAGTGAATGCAGTAAGTTCTCTACTGTCGGGATGGAGAGGTATCTGAAGGAAACCTTTATGAAGATCAATTTTGGAGATATATCGTCCATTTCGGAGTTTATTTAATATGGAATCCATTAAGGGGAGGGGGTAAGCATCTTTTTTGGTAACCGCGTTCAACTTTCTGAAGTCAAGACAAAATCTGTAAGTCATATCCGCCTTTTTTATCATAACGATAGGATTTGACCATCCGCTTTTAGATTTTTCGATTACATCATCCTTCAACATTTGTTCGATTTCGGATATTATTGCTTCTAACACCTTAGGGGAGACCATATAATACCTTTGTTTAATGGGGGAGTGATTTCCTACATCAATTTTATGCTCTACCAAATTTGTCATACCTGGTTTCGTGGGTGCTTCAGGAAGTTCCTTTGATAGAAATTCAGCCAAGCGATCAGCTTGATCTTTTGATAATTCCAAAAGACCATTGCAAAGATCCTGAGGTTCTTCATTCGACTCTAGATCATGGGTTTCTTTCGGCAGGTCATTGAAAGACCATTTTCTTTCACCGAAGTCTATATTTATGTCGAATAATTTTAAAAAATCTAATCCGAGGAGAAGATCCATTGGAAGAGAATCAAGGACTTTGGCCGATACAAGTTGCTTTCTATTTTTTAACTCTAAGGGAAGAATAATCTCTTGAGATACTACTGACAAATTACCGTTGGCGAATTGAACTTGACTATCTACGAATCTAGTCGTCAAATTGTGACTTTTAATGAGATCATGAGCCTTGGGACCAATAAATGTCTTTGAAGCTCCTGAATCAACTAAAGCTTTGATTGGTTGTCCTAATATATCAAGGGTTAAATACATGAGAGGTTGACGAGTGGTAACATTGGAGGGGGGATAACGGATAACAGATAAATGAATAGTGTTAGGAGGTCTTTTATTGACATTGCGTCTATAATGTTTTTTGCGATTCTTTTTTGGGTTTTTTCGCTCACAACTAATAGGGGTTTGGGAAATAGATACTGAGGAAATAGAATGATTATGGACAACTTCGGGATCAATGAGTGAGTCATCAGTTGACACGTCTGAGAGAGAACAGTCAGACGAGTTATCAATTTTTGGCTCGGACGGAATAGAATTTTCAATATCGTCAACGGGTGATTTAGAGGGATCTGGAATCGGGGACACCCCTGCCAGCGATTCCTTTTCTAGTTTCCCATGCATCTTGGACAATTTGTTTTTATTACATCTTTGTTACCGCACTTATAACAAAATATTGTCCTGGGTTGAGGGCAATCTTGGAATCGATGACCTTGACGATCGCAATTCCAACATTTAACGGGAGTTGATAAATTTTGAGCTGGTTCAATTTTTTCCGCTTCAGTGGTAGTGGTTTTTGGAGAAGGTACTTGATTTTTATTCGCAGAGACACTTTTTGAATTTTTAGTTTCAGATTTAGATGATTTATTATTCTTGGAATTTTTATTTTTAGTAGAGGGGAGTTTATCTATTTCTTTTGATAAAAAGGCTTCGTCGGCCGATTCTTCGTCTTCATATTCCACATCTAACATATTTAGAGTTACCTTTTTTCTTGAATGTATTCGGTTCGATGGGACGCGATAAGCTAAATCTGGTAACAGGGAATTTTCGGGACGCGGGGGCGGACGATAATTTCTAGCAATCTTAAACGATTTTTCTGCTGCGACTGCGGCGTATTCTAGTTGTGAAAAACTAGTGAGACTGGCACGCGGGATAGTGATGACCAATCGAGGGAGCATGTTACGGTGCGCGTAACTTATCTCATCACTCTCTGATAACCGTGGTGACAACCGATTAAACATGACTATCATATTTGTCAAATAGTCAGCCACTGGTTCGTGATCTCCTTGTGTACGTTTATTGATTTCTTGCAAAAGTTCAAATTGAAAATCTGCGTCACAAAATCGTTCACGGCAAGCACTGGCAAATTGTTGATACGTTTGCCAACTGTGCTGATGCGCATCGTACCATCGCGCTGCGATTCCTGTCAGGAAAAAGGGTATAAGACGTAATAATTCATGATCTGGGATATGAATCAGGACTCTGCTATTATTGATCTTAGTTAAAAAGGTATCTGGATCTTCGCCATTGGCTCCAGAAAAATTTAGATTCCATTTCATCATAAGATGATAAGCAGAAGCTAAGGGTGAATAATTTGAATTTCTTCGATTCGCATTATCAAAACTATCACGATAAGGTAAATAAGGAGCTTGATTTGAATAATTTTCTCTACGAGGGTAATAATCTTGATAATTTCTATTTGAGGATAAAGGTTGAGTAGGAGGATAAATTTCTCTTTGAGGATACTCATTTCTTTCAGGAAAATAAGGGACTTGATATGATTCACTAGCTCTTTGTCTTGGATCGACATATTGAGGAATTTGATATTCACGGGATCTTTGTCTTGGATCGTCATAGTGTAAAGGTGGGGGTAGTACCTCGCGTTGGTCTTGGTCGGAAAAATCGTAGGATACTCTAGGGATTTCAATTGACGGTTGTGATCTTTCAATATTTATCCGGTGTCTATCAGTATATATTGATGGACGAGACAAATCTTGACGAGATTGTCGTGAGTCAAATTGTTGTGAATCTTGAACTGGCTGAGTAATATTTGGTCTTACTACTTCGCGAGAATCTAATGTGTTGATTGGCAGTTCATATGGAGGGGAGGCTGCAATGTCGGAAGATGGTTCGACAAATTCAAGTCGATGTGGTCTACGAGGAAAATTATCATAATAGGGATGTTGTTGAGAACTGAGGGCAATATATTCGCGAGTGAAGGTCATTTGAGGTGGGTGTGTGGCATAATCATTTTGGGAGATTTTACGCATCTCTCCTTCCGAATGGATATTCCGCGGCAGATGTCGAATCCTACTATTAAGTTGATTTAAATCAAAAGGATCTCTTCTAGGTGTTGGATTATCTAGGACCACGTCTTGTCTGGTAACAATATTACTACCAGAATATCCACTATCTAATGAAATAGGTCTCTGATTTGATCGCGAGTCGCTTGGGGTTTGATGCGAGGTTGATCGAGATGATTGACCTATAGCGGTGGTTGTTAGTTTCTTTCTCGCAATCGCACCTTGAGACACAGAGTCGGTAACAAATGGTGGATCTTGAGTATCTACTGTTTGTGGTAATATATTTCTTGTACCTTGAGTAACTAAAGGAGGATTAATCTCATTTGATGATTGAGAAAAATTATTTTCCACACCCTGAGATACAGTATTGGTAACCGAAAGGGAATTATCATTGTTAGGTGATTGTAAGGGAAGGCTTCTTGCGCCGTCAGTTTCGGTAGTGGGGGTTGTAGTTCGAGTATGCGGAGAGGGGCGTTGTTGGGATGACGCCTCTTCATTGGATGAAAGGCTTTCACCATCGGAAGCGGTAGTAGGGACACGAGATTCATATTCTTCTCCTCTTTGGATGATCTGGAATTTACGTAATCGTTCACGTAAAACTCTGGTCGAGCCATCTTGAGGGAGATCTCGTTTACCTAACTCTAACAAAAGTACTTCTCTGGTAATTGAATAGATCCATGCATCCTTTGGATCGGCCATGATAATAAAAAATAATTTTTTTTTTTTTTTTTATTATCACTTATTTTGTTATTATTCGCGAAAAAAATAATTATTAAAAAGATTTAGTGAATTTTATTTATTTATTTAATTTTTTTGTTAATAATTATTAGAAAATAATTTATTCCCCTTTTTTTTTTATATATTTGGCAAAGAATAATTTGAATAACTCGTATATTTTACTCGGTTAAATCATTCATTACACGTGAGAGAAATTTCCAATTTAAAATAAAATATTTCAAATCAAAACTATTTCAATTGATCGTTTGTGGAAAGATCCACAGACTTTGATTAGGATGAGATCATTATCCTTTGTATAACCAAGAAAATAAAGTCGAGAATTACATGGAATTTAATTAAAATAAGATTTCAATTTCAACTAAAATATTCTATCAAAAGAATATTTTTCTTGCTCAGGTTAATGTGATACAATGGGCATACACAGAGCAGTTTGTTTTGGTAGCGATAAGGGACAATGACCGGTGAGTCACTAGAGAGAGTATTTAGTTTAGATGGGAATAAAGTTTGACTTTCATAATTGTTTCACAATTTTATTAAATTTATTTTGGCGTTAGCCCCACGTTGGGCGCCATATTTTGTAATGAAAATATAATGATTACTAAATTAAATATAATAATTAAAAAGATACAAACGACATTCTAAATATATCGCTATTCAACAAAAAAAATTTGAATTTTTAACGCCAATATTAGAATTCTCATTACAAAAAAATTAAAAGAAAAATATCGGAATATCAAAGAAAATTTACCAGAAGGGCGCCAGATCTTGCTTGGATCAACTCAAAATTTTAAACAAAAAAAGTTATAATTCATAACATAAATTAACTCGACTAGCTCTACGAAAAATAACGGAGAGGCGTGAATTCAGAAAATTAATTCATAATAAAATTTACAAATAATCGTTTATTATATTGTGAAACAATAGTTGGGGAAATTTACAATAATAAAAGGAAGAAAGTGGTGACCATTACAGAATATCCAATAATAAAAAAGGGATTGACAATAGAAAGAAAGGGGAACAAAAATCAATAATTAGGGTAACCAATAATTGACTCTCTCTCTCTATGCTCAGTAATGGCCAAATCTTATCAAAAACATATTTATCACAACAACAAATAAAAATTAGAAAATCAATGTAATAATCACAATAAACAAGAAAAATTCAAAAGAAAGATGGTCACATGGTCAGGAATGAGGATCTCTCTTTATGTTACCGGTAAATTAAACAAAATAATGCATGTAATAATCAAGCAGCCACACGGCAAGATGTTAAGATTATTTTAATAAATTATAAATAATATTCATTAACAAGAATCACAAGGTCACCAGACTAGATTCTCTGTTAATAAATTTAACGGCACCAGCCAAATCAAAAAAAGGGGTAACAAATTGAGAACATCATTCCTTACAGGTAACCATAATATTAAAATAAAAAAATAGCAATTATCGTCGGGAAATCAACCAGATATTGCCTGAAGGGCCAAAGACAAAAGTCCTACCTTTAATTCCAGTGAAACACAATATCACGTTCAACACAATTTTTACTATAATATTATAATAGACAAGTTTAACAATAAGAGTTCCAAACTCGGAGGATCGCCAGGAGAGAGTGTCGACAGCGTGGTCGATACAGATATTGATCGTCGGCGTTTGAGATTGATGTCGTCTGCTCCATCAGTGACGTGACTAGTAATGGTGACAGGGTGCTTTCCGGGATTCGTTTGATATTTTACTATTACCATGTTGAGTGTGGTCTCATCCTGATTTGAAATTTAGTAAATTATCCCTCCTGAGTTCTTTGACTTCCAGTGGTTAGACCATTAGATTCATGACTTCTAAGGTAACCTGCATTGTCGTGAAGTCCAAAGAGCGCAGGGCCGTAAGCTGACAGGGCCCTTGGCCGACAGGCCAAAAGGTAACACTAACAAATCGAAACTTTATAATTTTTTACTGCGATGATTTTCCATTTTTCAATGCATTTTGAGCAGTGGATGTCATCTTTACATCGGAAATTTCCGGAATCCTTAGCGGCAAATTTGAATTGAAGGCAGATTACATCTTCATGAAAAATTTGAATTTCAAAGATTTGACATATCAGGTGACCCATGGCGGCAAATTCAAACATATTTTTTATATAAATTGTCCTGTTAGCCATTCCATAGTCGTGAAACATCAGACATCTTGCAAAAAGGTTGTCCATTCAGCTTCGTCTCTCGAGATCCATTATTCCGAGGAAGATTACATTAAAAAATAGAAAATACGAAAATAAGAAAATGAAAAATAAAATTATTTTGGCCAATTACCGAGCTTTTGGCGATCCTCCAGGTATTATTTTATACAAAAAATTTTGCAACGTTACAATATATATATATATATATATATATTGTGAAAGAAAAAGTTTTAGTCTAAAAAAAAAAATTTATTAAAATCATTTTGTAGTTGAATCAATGAAAAGTATTTATTTGGCTCAATTAAATAATTTCTTGATTCGAAAAATTTATTAAAATAAACGAAAATTCGATTAAATAATTATTTATTTGAATCAATCAAATAGTTAATTTAATCAAAAAAAATATTTACTTGAACCAAACTAAATTTTTATTTGAAAATATTTGTTTGATGTAACAAAAAAAAAATACATTTCGTTCAAAACAAAACTTTTCTCTGCTAGAATATTATTTATAAATATTCTAATTGTTTATCTAATTGAGACAATAAAAAAAAAAATTTTTTTTCTTCAATTTCTGCATTATTTGTCACTTATACGTAACTTTGAATGATACAATGACCTACATTAATGACAAGAAACTGACTCTCTTTGGTTGTAGAATGTCTAATATCCTTTCCCTTTGACGTCAGACCAGAAGTATCGTATGAATCATCGTAAATTTCTCATGAGGGAATTCCATAGAATGAACGCCTTGAAATCGAAAATGAGAAAATATAATATGAGTTATAAAAACTGTCGAGACTTTTTTTTTCTGTCATAACTCGTTTTTCATTATCCTTGAAAATGTGATGTAACATATATATATATATATATATATATATATATATATATATAACATAACGATTGTTTAGTTTTTTGGGGGCGCAAAGTTCCAAAAGGTATAACTGATTAGAAGACCCCCTTAATCCATGGAATGTCATTTGTCATTGGGGGGACCCTTCTGGTCCCCTGAAGAGAGTGAAGTCGCTACTTTTTTTTTTTGGACCACACAAAAGGGACAAAATGAAGAAGACCCCCTGAGTCTATATACTGGGTCTTAGACTTATTTTATTCAAATGAGAAAAGTTCGGCTTTTTACCTTATATTCTTTTCATTAAAAAAAAAGCGATCTCAAAAGTGCCGCTGAATTTTTATTAGTAGATTCGTGGAACATGTGCCACCATCGATGAATTTTTTTTTTTTGCAATATCTATTTTTTTTGTCTCATGCTCCTCTGTTTTCTTTCTTTTTTTTTTTCTTACAATTTTTATTTTAACAAATTCTATTAAATATAATTTTTTTTCCGAATTTCCATTTTTCGAATTATTTAAGAAAATTTATTTTCAAACAAATTTTTGATACAAAATTTTTAAGTACCAATTTTTTGGAAAGTTTGTAAAATAAAAATTATTTTTTTTCCGAATTTTCATTTTTCGAATTATTTAAGAAAATTTATTTTCAAACAAATTTTAAATAAAAAAATTTTTAAGTACCAATTTTTTGGAAAGTTTGTAAAATAAAAATTATTTTTTTTTTCCGAATTTCCATTTTTCGAATTATTTAAGAAAATTTATTTTCAAACAAATTTTTAATAAAAAATGTTTAACTATACCAATTTTTTTGGAATGTTTGTAAAATAAAAATTCAGTCAAAAATTACTTAATTTTGTAAAAATTCGTTTAAAATGAAATTAAATGCAAATTATTAATTTTTTTTTAGCATTTAATTTCATTTTAAACGAATTTTTACAAAATTAAGTAATTTTTGACTGAATTTTTATTTTACAAACATTCCAAAAAAATTGGTATACTTAAAAATTTGTTAAAATTCGTAAAATGAAAATTCTTCTAATTAGTGTATAATAAAATTCTTTAAATTAAAAATTCTAATTATTTTCTAATCCACCAATAATTTTCATATTATTCAACAATTATTTTATAATATCAAATAATATAATAAGTGAGGAAATTAATTTCACAATGGTTTTCACACTTATTGTTTGGATGAAAAAAAAAAAAAAAAAAAAAAAAGTGGGTCATACTCTCTTCACGTGTAAGTAAGAATTTAATCCGCAGATGTCGAGCAGCTGCGCCGTGTAAAAATTGAAACCGATTGAACGCTTCCGGGCAAAGGATGCGAATACTTGTGATTTGTTGGTCCAGCAGAAAGGCAGCAGCTGGCGTTTTAGTTTTCCAAGACCAAAAAAGGATCCTAAAGTACATATAAGTGGGTGGTGCTTGAAACTACAAATATATATATATATATATATATATATATTGAAAAATGGTTTGTGTAAGGGTGTCAAATGAACGGGGGGTGAAATTTGAATCTTTAAAAAATGACGCGTGCCATAGGACAAAAATTTTTATGGAAAAAATTATTTGAAAAAAAATCGAACCTTAAAATAAAAATATTTTACCGAATTTTTAAATTAAAAAAAATTTCTATCTCCTTCATTTTCTGATATTGATTGACATTGATAATTCCGATCCATACCGAAATTATATAGAATACATATATACGTCAATTCTGATTTGATATTATGATAAAGGATGGGTCAGATGGAATTACTATTGATTATGCACATCTCTCACATCACTTACTATGACGTGATGGGGTTCAAGATTAAATATATATTCTTTTATTGTGTATATATATATAAGTGCATCAAGAGAAATGTCAATTTAAATAAAGATCCCTCATTATAAAATACAAGCGCACCGTTTTGAAATTGAAAAAAAAAAAATTCACATTAAAAAAATAAAAAGGAAATTAATAAAGAAAAAATGAAAATTAGGTTTCAAACTGCAAACAAATTCGCACAGTTTGTAAATATTGGAAAATATTACCAATTCAAATATATACAGTGTGCAAATTTGAGTTGCGGTGTGCAAAATTTAGTTTCAACTTTGTAAAACAAATATCCCTCTGTTACACTTTTATAAAAGCTCCTCCTCTCTTGTATATAAATCGATTATACACCCTCTGATACTATATAAAGTGAACCTACCCTCTGTCGGTAATTTTTTTTATTTTTCAAAATTTTACTTTTTTTGCTATTTTTGAAGAATTTTCTAAATACAACCTCTATGCTGCTTGTGAAAAATAGAATAAGAAATTCTTGCTTTGAATTTTGAAAAAAAAAAAAGAAATGTGACTATAGACAGGAAATTTCATGAATTATATGCACGATGGCGACACGTATACAAGATGCGTGGCTACGCATAAATTCACAAATGATGGTACATGGGACCCTTTTGTTGACGCTCATCACATCCCTCGAACGTGGTTTTTCTATTTAGTGTCGAACATCATACTAAATTTTCACCTGCATCGTCTGGTGCACCATTTTATTTAGGTGTTAACATATTTTACCATTTAATTTAGTGTTGATTTTCTAATTTTAAATATCATCCATGTGCCAGAATTAAAAAAAAAAAAATTATCAAAAAGAGGGGCGAATAAAGTAATATTAAATAATAATTATAGAATAACAATAAAATAGTAATAATAATAAAAAAATATTAACTATTAAATTATTATACTAATATTAACTATTAATATTAATAATAATAATAATAATTATAGCAAATATCTTTTTAATTATCTTGAAAAATGATAGAAATAATTTTATATAAATATATCAATTAATGATTTTTTTTTAAATATTAATACTAATGGTATTTTAGTTTTACTATTAGTAATTAATAATTTCTTCATTTATTTAGTACTTAAATAAATTATATTTTCCTTTACCGTGGTTTGTGAAAGAACAAATTTTTTTTTTCCAAAAATTCCATTTAAATAATTAAATGCGGAAAACAGTTTATTTAGGTCAATGTTCACAGCAGCAGTTATCTTTCTTGAAGCCCAAAGGGACGATTATTGATTTTAGAAAAAATGAGAATATTTCATGAAATTTTGTCCTCGAGAAATAATACAGGGCGTGTGTAAATTATTTCCATGTATATAATTATTTTTATTATTATTATTATTATTACTATTATAATTATATTATTACTATTATAATTATATTATTATTTATAAATAATTTAATAATTATTTATAAATAAAAATAAATAATTATTATTATATTATTTCATGTATGTTTTCATGTATACATATTTATGTATATGTACATCATAAGTTTGTGATAAATAAATATGATTCAAGCACCTTTATCCCATATAAAAAGATCTTCTTTCACCATAAAGAAGAACCACGCCTTCTAAAAAAACTAAAAAAAAAAAAATTTTTTTCGCTTGTAGTTCGTGGGTGTTAAATATATTATTATCATAATTTCACAAGTTTATGTTAACATTTTTTTGTTTTTGTAGCTACAACTTTTAAAACGTGAATAATAATAATTTAAACGCTTCTGTTATATTGTTAAATATAATAATTGATAATCAGATTTTAATTGAAAAATTAATAGTTACAATATGAGGGGGGAAAAAATGAAGTTGTCAGGTTGACTAGTAAACTAAGTTACGCCCCTTTTTTCATACATATATATAATGTTTGATGAGTGAAATGTACCCTTGTATTCATCGTGGGTGGTGTACCTTACCCTCCGAACTGTTTTGTAAGGAATAAGGTTTCCCCTTCTTTTTTTTTATGTATAAGTAAGTACGTGACGACATTCATTTTTCACTTTCTATATATATATATGTGTTTATTGAATTGAGTAGGTTGCGTTTATGACAAAATTATAGAGTGGAAAATGGGGATGTATTTTTATGAGCTTCTTCATTGTATTCGAAGAATGAGAAAAGTACACGTTTTCTGATTTTGTATTTCTTAACTTCTTTTTTGTTTTTTTTTTTTTTTTTGTTTCTTAAATATATAAACGGTTTTTTAGAGTCTTTTGTTTAAATAAAAATGTTTTTTTTTTTAAATCTTTTTTTCTCAATAGAAAATTTTTAGTTTTGGAGAATTCTTGTTTTTTTTTTTCGCGTAAAACATAGTTTAGTTTGTACTTGAATCATACAGCTAAGAATATCTCCAGGAGTCGTCGCTCTAACGCACTTTGAGTGTCCATGGTAGAGACCACTCGTTCTGATAAATTTAGACCCGATTTTCATTTTAGTCCCTCTTTCTCTCTTTCCACCTCTCGATTTTGTCGCCTTCACTCATTTCAATAATCCCCTGATTTGCTTTCGTTTCTAACTCCTAGGATTCTATTCATTCTGTCTTTCTGACTTCTCAATCTTCTCAT